CTGACAGCCGCTGTCACACGTTGTGTCGAGATCAAAGACGCCGAGCGAATCTCCAGACTTTCAAGAGGTTCGGCATCTAATCTCACCGAGGCATCACTTGGATGTTGTGTATTTGCTCAACTCGGGACCATACAATTAGGTCATCTCGACTTTGCAGCATTGTCTCCGTTGATTCCGATGTGTGTGTGTGCAGGATGAATCTCATCAAACACGGCTAACTCCCAACACCCGTCGGCCACCTGTTGTACCGACTTCTCACCCTTTGCACGGGGTCAAGGGATCGACAGATGGAGCTGATTACATGCAGGAGCGCCGGCGTGTCTTTTCAACATGGTCATGATCAGGGTGTGAGAAAGAAAAGGAGAGGAAAGGGTAACGACACAACAGCGATGATGATACTGCACATCCTGGAACTTCTCTCTGACAGATCGCTACCAGAGAACCAGCACACTCAGACAAGAGAAATACACCCAATGCACTGTTGTCTTATTACAGCTATGATTCAGTTATGATTCAACAGTCACAATATTGATAACACACACAGTAGCAGGCAGACACAGAAGCATGCTTAAGCTCCAGTTTCACTGTGCAACAGAGATGAAGAACATAGAACCTAAAATAAAGTGTATATTATCTATATGTTATTAATAACCACTATGTGTTTTTCTAGAAAACTAGCTAAGCAATATGTCTCTATGGCTAACATACAGTATTTGTATTGTACAGTCCAAGTGTAGCCCACACACGACATTTAAAGTCTGAGTTTTAGAAAAAGCTGCTGCTTAAGCTAGCTCTGTCTTTAATGTGATGCTAATACCTGTGAGGCACAAACTGGAGCTAATGTATGCCTGTGCCTGGTTGACAAATCATTATCAGATTTCATCCACCAGTATCAGTTGGGATGTAATTTATAACTTACTGGTGAAATAAACAGCCAAAAGCTGACTTGCATTCAGAAGCATGCAGTCTTGTAGGAATCTGTGTTTCATGCTGTCTTCCTGATCAACCACACAGGCATCTATTGTTGCGGGTGCAAGTTTCTTTGTCGCACTGTTCAGGAAGGAACCGTGGCAGAATAAAGTCCACCGGCCTAAATGTCTGTGGGAGACATTTTATCTCGACCACACAGACCGATCCCATCAAACATTCCAGCGTGGACCCGCACGACGGGTTACAAAAAAAACTGAATGAGTGGAATTACCATCTTTGTTCTCTCTGCAGCTCCCTGGTGTTTCCCCGATGCTAATTCCTCATCTCAATGACTACAGGATAAGCACAAACGTTGATTTAAGAGAGAATTATATCTCTGAGGGACCTGCGCCAATGCTCCCCTCACCACCACCAGCACCACCTCCTCCAGATGACACTCCAGCCTCGTTTCTACTCGTCACGCTCATTATCTCCACCTGACCCAGTGCTTTCACCTGATACACTCTGAAAGTGGAAAAGGGGATCCACGCTGCAATGACATGGAAGTAATAAAACCACAACATTTATGTCCCATTCGCCCGGAGCAGAGTTATAGGTGTTTGTGGACATCACAGAGAAGCATATGAAATAAATGTCAATATTTCCGAAAGCCAAGAACATGGAGGGGAAAACTGGGAATGGATGCAGCTCGTAAAATACAGCTTGGCCCCCAAAAAACAACTTCACATAACATCACAATCATTGATCACAGCTGAAAATGAAGCGTGGCGGAGGGGTGTGGGTGCAGCCATTGGTCTTATGAAATTATCGTGACATCAAAATCCATCACAACCAGCTTGCCTGTCCGGGTGCTCGCGTCTCCACCAGAGCAACGGCAATCTGTCAGCTCATCTGTGAGTCCACCCCGTGGAGGGGAAGGACAGACGGAAAAATAATAACACAATTGACAACAAAAGACTTTGCCAGGATCATGCAGTTATGAGTTGAGCTTATTAAAAACCACAGTGGAAAATAAATATGCAAACACCGAGCCCACCGAGCAGGGAACACAATGAAATATGGTGTGAAAGACGGAGAGTCAAGAAGGAGGGAGAGCAGACACCCCGCTGCTAATTTAATAGACTGACTATACAGCAGGCTATGCAATTCCATTATGTCGTGTCATCTGTCCCGCGGAGCTGGGATCGGTTCCTTGGGGGAAGGTCATGGAAAATGACAGACACTATCAGATACAATCAAGTCATCTGGGATCCCAAATTTAAACCCGGCAGGTTTGGATGCTGATGACCACGCTGTCTGTCTCTGACGTCACTAGTCGTTAGTCGGTTTGACACGACGGACAAGAGGGACTCAAACACGGTGAATACTTGCAGAGATTTACAAGTCAGGAGGAATCGTTTTCACACATGATATGCAGGGATAAGTCATGGAAAACTGATTTGTACCATGCATACGTTTTGTTGCTTTTGTAAGGTTTAAGTGCAACACGTGTCAGTGGAGCATCATGGCTTTCGGCAATTAGTGCATTTGTCAACTTGTAAGACCTAATTAACTAATAAGTGTGCATACTAGGAGGTTGACTTACCTCAAATAAAATGACCCAGTGAATTGCAGATGTCTCTTTCCCAATGTGAGTCTACGGTAAAAAGTCCTTTTGGGGCTCTTTGGCTTCACATGACCGACCAGGAAGTTGTGATTCCACCGTTTTGTCATGATGTTAAATTTGCCTCAAAGCCCTGCGCTCTTCCTGGGGGCTTCGTTCAAACTCATATGAGCCAAATGGACATTTTCCTAACAAGCAACCTCTTGTGTTCTTGTCAATAGCGACATATTTTTCTCCAAATCAAAGGCCGAATTAACAAGGCATTGTTAGAGGCTGAGACCAAAACCCCTTATTAAGGAAGTCAGGGCGGATTGTTGGATTGATGAAACGTGAATATGACGGAGGAAAACCACTGTCAGCATCTCCCATTTGTTTCTTTTACGGGCCTAAACCTAACTAGACCTAAACCACAGACTAGAAGTCGACCGATAGACAATCATAGTTGTAAAGGCCCAAAACTACACAGAAAAAAGGAGAACGCACAGACACATGACACAAATACTGCTTCTTTCAATGTTTCATAATAAATGGTGCACTTTTTTTAAATCCTCACATTCTTTCCTGACTGTCACGGAGTGACATCATGCTGTGTTGGGCGAGAGCAAATTGTAGCCTCCTCTGCACCATCAGGAAATGATGCGTTCCACATAGAAGTGGGGGTGGGGGTGGGGGTGGGGGGGGTGCATGACGCTCGGCTCTGCAGCCTGTCTGCAGAGAAGTACCTGTTTCTCCACTGCAATTTCAAGACAAAGCAGCAGTCCTTTTGCAGAATCCTCTCCCCAAGGCGGATTCAATGGTGAGAAGAAACGTCTCACATCCGGTTTATACCAATCAGCAATTCGTCGGCAAATCAAGAAAATGAATCATCACATGTTTTTATAATCAGTTCATCATTTCAGGTGTTTTCCAAGAAAACAAACATTTTCTGGTTTTTGCAGCTCAAATCTGCTGCTTTTTTCAGTGTGTTACATTATTGTAGATTGAATGAACTGTTTTGAACTGTTGGTCACCTTGAGCTCTGGGAAACTGTGATCAGAATTTTCTTTCAATGTTCTCTGAAGTCCATTTCATGGAAGTAATTGTTAGTAATTCATTTTCTATGTTAGTCCTGTCATTTCTTTAGGGCTGAAACATCATCATTTCAGCGGTGACACTTTCAGATCAAGGCATTTTTTTTATACAACCAACCAAAAAATAGTAGCTTAAGAAGCTTCAACCCTCCAAATATTTGCCATGTTTTTGCTTGAGGCATCGATTAATTGTCTAATTCTTATTGCATTCTGGTGTATTGAGGATTATTGTCCTGCAGGTTGAACGTCAGACATAAATTACAGAAGAGATCTTATGTGAGAAAAAGCCTGCATCCATGACAAGAACGCATGCGAGCCAATGCTTCTGGAACAATCTCACAGAGCAACAGCTCATCCACAGGACAGGTTTCACCCAACAGCCTCTTGGTTTATCACCTCTATTAATTTGTCGCACCAGTGCTGAGAAAGAAAAACAGAATCACGCTGAAAACACTTCGCAAGGGAGCTGCAGTATGATTCTTTCGGTCAATATTGCACGGCCCCTGTTTTTGGCTCTAGAATAACATTTCAAGTCCCTTCTGCTTTGTAGTTTCAGCCAGCTCATTCAGGGCTTTGGATGAGAGGGCCAGCCCACACTGACAGCTTACACCTTCTGGAGTGAGACAGTAATAGCATTTACCAACCAGGCCAGAAAGCACACACAACATAAACACAAAGCCTGTTTCTGCAAAATCAACATAAAAATCCCGAATCGCATATCTTACACACACACGAAGCAAAAACGACCATTAACATGAACATTCTCGACTCTAATAAGAGTCTGGGAGCACATAGAGCGTGTTTGATCCTTCTCGACCATAAATACCCATTCTGACTGCAGTTGCTTTGATAACCAAGATAGGCAGTTCCTGTTTCAGAGGTGGGCCTTGAGGTGGGCTGAGGGTGATAAATATTCAAGGAACTCTCAAGTCCTTTTGTTTGGGAATACAATTACACCCCTTGGATAAGCAGTGGTTATTACCCAGCATAATTACACACTTTGTACACATATTACTTTTCCAACTGGGCTACACTGAGCAGATTATCACTTTGTTCACTGTGAAAAGTATTTTCTCAAACAAATCAATCATAAATAATCAAATTTCTCTTCAAATAAATGAATACAGCTTGTTTGTTGTTTGTTTTTGCAAAGAAAATTCTGCTTTCCTCAGTCAAGAAGACTCATCTCCCACTAAAGACACAGCCACTGGTTCCTAGACATTTCTTGGAACACGTGGACAATTTAAATCAACAGGGAATCATATGGTGGATTTTTACAGTGTGAGTGTTGACTGGAGACACACAGCCGAGCACCAAAGGTGACAAAAGCGTGTCAAATCATATTTCAGCAGATCATCTCTAATTGGCATGTTTTCTTTCTGTTCAACTTGTCTTACCACTTGAATTCTTCCCACAGATGAGGTGCTGGTAGGGCTGCAGCAGACCCCAGATCTCCGAGTCGCTGTTGATGGCTTGCTCCAGTGACTCCAGCGTGAACTTGGGGATCCCGTTGTTCCTCTCCACCAGCGCGCTGCGCAGGACGCGGCTGAACACCTCTCTGAACAGACTCTCCATGCACGCGGTGAGGTATATGGCAGCGTGTTCGTGGATCCTGAGGGCCACCCGGCTATCCACCATCCACCTGAAGAACTTCCCCACGGAGAACACCAGCCCGCAGCGCGCCGACTTGCCCCGGCTGAACTTGTCCCCGGTGCTCATGTTGTACAGGGACAGGGCGCTGAGAGCCGCCGCGATGCAGTTGACGGAGATGGTCCACGAGAGCACCACCTTGATTGCGCTCTGGATCTCGTGCTTGGTGCACCTGGCGTAGCGCAGGCTGAGCCGCTGCGCCTCCCGGGCCACCCTCACCAGCGCGCGGCTGATGAGCGCCGACAGCCGCGCCAGGACCTCCGGTGGAGGGTCGCCCACCATCAGATCCTCGTCTTTCCTCAGTGCGCCCTCCACCTCGCCGAGGCTCCATGGCACGTCCTCCAGCTCCGTCAGCTTGGCGCACTGACCCGAGCACTCCAGTATCTCCGTGTCCTCCGCCAGGACGGTGTTGACTGTGTCCAAACTGTTCTGTCGGCTGTGCATGGATTCCGTCAGATGCCAGCAGTTGGCCCCATGCGCGATGGACTGATGCGTGTCGGAGCAGCACAGCGACACGCTGGACGACCTGACCGAGTCCGCGGCTCCACCATAACCAGAATCAAGCGTTAAATCCTCCAGCGTCCTCACGACTGTCTTACCCTTGCCTGCCATAACTGCACCGCATACTGTTGGGTATGCTTGGTCTCTCAATTAAATGCCACAAACTCGTTTCTACCTGCTTATTCTTTTCTGTCTCTCTCAGCCGCTGTCCGAGGGTTTAATTTGTATTTCCCAGCGACAGAAGGCAGCCTCTACTTTCCTCCTCCTCTAAGTGACTGGGTGTCTTCGATGTCCAGAACTTCACGCGCGTAACCTGAGAGCGCACAAACCCTCCGCGCTCACTGCAACAAGCACAGCGCAGGCAGGACTCCGAAGGAGAGGTGGAGCCTGGAGCCCCGCGGGCTGAAAGGAGCCAATCCGCGTCTCCATCAGCTTTGACCGACGCTGATAACCCCTACCTGCTGCTGCCGCTGCCGCCTTCCAGCACAGCAGAGGCTACCTGGTGGAACGTAACTGCACAACCTGAGATGACACGCGCAATTTTCTGCAGTGCCAACCAATCTGGTATTTTGTAGTGAAGTGATCGAGGATAAAGGACGTGGACATTTACGATGGTGTGGAGAAAACGTGCACCAATGACATATAACAACAGCAGAGGGACAGCATAAAAACACTGACATGAACAGTGCTTTGTTTTGTTAGTATAAGTCATTCTTCAGAGGTCAAAGTTCATGCAGTTGTTTACTCTCCTACATCCTGATGCTAATCTGATGGGATGAGTTCAAGGTACTTGCCTGCAAAAGCAGCTTGCTGTGCTATTTATTTCCTCAATTAAAGTAGAAATAAAATAAAAATGATGAAATTATGATGAAATAGACACATTTTAACCACATTGTCAGGGGCCTCTAATGGAAATTCACTCTTGTTCCATTCTGCTCTGCTAATAGTCCTGTTTGACTTATTTGGAATCTGGATGAAACACAACATTTCTGAATAAAAAATAAAAAGAAATGTATTTTCTTTAATCACATAAAGACGTGACACGTAGTCCTGCTGCAGTGAAAAGCAGCGTTTTTAGCATGCTGCCCACCACTAGTGAGAATCTTTGGTAAATAAGTGAGGGTGGGTCTGCAGCAAAAGTAGTTTTCTTGAGGAACTCCACAGACTTTAATGCCGGATCATAAATACTTTACTGTTCAACACACACTGGTCTACATCCAGTGATAACACAGACCTGCAGTCCCGCTGCGTCGAGGCTCAGCATCCCTCAATCATGATGTTTGAGAGATGTATTCTCCACAATACAAATTACTTTTTTTTTTCATTGTTTTGCCCTGCCATGAAAACAAAGAGTGGGTGATTTGAATTCAGAGGACATGCTGGGAGGAACAGTTGGTGGATCGATGATTCATCCGTTCTGCTGGGGCTTCTCCTTGTACGCCTGAGCTGGACCCAACCATCTGTCCACACTGCCTGTTGTGCCAAAGGGCCTTTTCATATTTTCTTAGCATGACACTGCAGACGCCATGCCAGAACTGATAAGAAAAGAAAAACAAATTCTGGAGTTGTGAGAAATGATGTGACGCCCACTCTCGCAGAGTGATTGACAGGGAAAAGTGTAAAAACAATCCATGCAAGAGTCTTGTTTTCGAGCAGTATTGACCCTCCACGTGGGAACACATCAGGCCTCTGAATGCTATAAGACATTTTTGGATACGATTTCTGTTGACTGAATATTGAATTATTTACCCGTCAACATAAAGGATATTCTGAGTCTTACAGGACCTCCATAGAGAAAATGATGATCTTGATTAAGTGACAACAATGCATTTTGCATAAAGAACCCTTCCTATAAATATAAAGAGTTTCTTAAGCAGATGTCGCCATTAGCACATCCCGTCTCCCAGTCTGTGACATCAGCTCCTCTCCTGCAGTCTGCCGTGAGCTCTTGATGCAATGCAGCACATCTTGCTGACTAACTCAGGTGAGAGCGGTGGAGGTGGGCAGCTGTCAGCTGCTTCTCTAACATGCACTGTGGTCCTCTGAAGCTCGTCCTCACGAATCAAGCCTCGGTTGCCTGGTAACAGCAAAATGATGATGATTTTCCCGGCAGGATGATAGAGTGTTAGTATTTTGCCAGCAGAATGAGTGCATCGTGTAAACATGCTTCCCTTAGTCATGCTGCACAGTCACGTTTTTTATTTGTTAATTTATTCATCAATGTTTTTTTCCCCATGTGTTTGAATGCGTATAACTCTATATATTATAGAGCATTTTGCTTGTTTTAAAATGTTATTTACGCTGTGTATTTTGTTCTTAAGTGACTACATTTGGCACTTCAAAATGATGACTTATATTGAATTTTGTATAGTTCATTGCACTTTATTCAACATGTTTATTGCCATAATACCGTCATTCTGTGGAAATATTGGCCCATAAGGTGTAAAAGACTAAGAAACAAAAGTACAGCATCCACTATCACAACTTCTTATTATCATTTACATTAAGGTATCACCTGACAGGAGGAGGGCGTTAATGGCACGAGGTTATACTGCCACTCAGTGGCCAAAAGATGGTACTACTCCCACAATCCGAAAACTGCATTTTCTCGCACAATTACAAAACATTTTATGTAAGAGAATAATATGACGTATTTCTTAGACAGTGAAAAACATAAAATATAAAGAAAATAAGATAGTTTGGTGCAGATATCGACTCCAACTTCTTATACTGGCTCCAACAACAATTAGTTTAAAAAGCACCTTTTAAAAACAAGGCCATTCAAAGTGTTTTACATAAGACATATATTAAACATGAAATAAAAAGACAAATAATGATGCATGAATAGTTCCGAATGTAACGTAATAAAAGGCAGTGCCCCACAAAAAGGTTTTGTGCAATTCAAAGCAAATCATGATGCAAAAGTAATCCAAAGTGCAAATGTAGGCTAAATCACAGCTCGACCTCTGAACACACACCTTCTGTAGCCGGACTGATTTCTGTCCGCAAGTGGGGCAAATTCGTCTGCAAAAAAAACCAGGTTGAATACCAAGTGCGTCAGCTACAATTTACAGTGCTGCGATGACACACACAGACACACACGCACACAAACGCGTGACCGCCCCCACCTCCCAGCTCATGCCCGACTTCATGTGCTGATCCGGGTTCTTTTATGGTAAATAAGCCAGTCGACTGTGGAAGCTGGAGGATTCCACAGCGTTCTGATGGTACTCTTATACTCTTACCGCAACTATATGTCTTTTAAATGCATGTGCACATCTTTCACAGCTATTTATTTAAAAATAAAAATGAAGTTATTTACTTGTAGTGCACAAAAAAAAAAAAGTCAGAGCAGTCCACACTTCCAGCTAAACTCCCATTAGAATTTAGATGTGTTTTCCAGTTTGGCATGTTTACCATAAGAGGTCACATGCATATTAAATAGTTTTTCCTCAGTGTTGCCTCTTTAAAGGGCACAGGGAAAGCACGCTGCAGAAACGTGACAACCATGAGAAAACGCACGCAGCGCGCTGGACCAATCACGGAGCTCTTAGCCAGTGCGCGTCCTCGTGTGTGGGCGGAGTCACAGGGTTTTGTAGGCGCAGTGATGAGCTTGAGCAGCTATTCGTGGACAGCTGTACCGTTATTGCGTCTCAAAAACATCGGACCGACAGTTACGAAGACGGACAAGGATTTATAACAGCTCTGTGCTCGTGCAGGTTTAGGACGACGATTTTGAGAACAACAACAACAAGAAAACGCATGCAGAAACTGTATTTACATAAACAGCTTTTGCGTTAACGTTATTCAGGCTCGTCGGTTACTCTTTTACTTAGTTTATAGTAAGTAATGTTTATAGAGTGCATGCCTACAAACGCGTTTTAGTACGTGCACAATTATCCAATTTCTTCGTTCACATAAACAAGTTATATAATACGAAACGAGGTTACGGTTGGACCTCATCGACAACCCGAGTCCTAAAGCCTGGCGGGTTACTTGTCACATTGCCGGAGAGAGAGAGAGCGCGCACGCGCTGTCTCGTGCCCAAATGGTTCAGCAGCCAGCTGTTTTTAAATTCTTTGACACAATGGAAAAGGTTCTGTTAGAGCAAGGTTAATTGCAAACTTTGACTGCGTTGCTGAATACAAAAAAAAAACACGATTTGTATGCACGCTGAAGTAACGTGCACGCGCGTTTTCCTTTAGAAAGTTGGATTCCCAGTGACCTGATTTCACTTTTTGTTTTCCTTGGATACATATTTTTTATTAGTGAGTCAGAATAAGAGTGGAGTGAGCACAAAAAAAAAAGACTCTTTTTAAAATTCAAAAAGAAGAAGAAAAGAGGACTCATCCAGTTGAGTAATGGTCATTAACACGATCCACTGGTTCAGGAAGGGCTTGCGGCTCCACGACAACCCGTCGCTCGAGGAATCTCTGCTGGGAGCGGATACGGTCCGCTGCGTCTACATCCTAGACCCCTGGTTCGCTGGATCCTCCAACGTCGGGATCAACAGGTGGAGGTGAGAGAGAGAAAAAACAACAGCATCCAACCACGTGCATTTGTTGGTTTCATTCCTAACCCCTTGATGATAACAATGCAGTATATTAAAACTGACCTTTAGTATCGGTGGTGCTGGTTGGTGCAGATGTCTCTGATGTCACGTGTCTATTACACTGCATTGTTTTGTTGCGTCTGCCTCAAAGAGATAAGCACACTTCATATGATATAGCCAAAAGAATATCACACTACACAACCAAATGTGGCCCTTTTTTATTTACAGCAGGTGTCTCCTTGAGCTGCTGACTGCAGCACTGCGTTCTGTTCATTACGCCACAAGAAGAAACATCTAAGCTTTTAAGATATAAATGTGTTTGAGATATAAATAATAAACTTTTGAAGGACAACATCAGAGAATAGTATTAAACTGTTTGGATTATATTATCTGTTATTGTATTACAGACGTCACTTTGATATCGGAGCGTTAATGCCATAATGCGTAATGAACACATATTGATAAAAGTGTCAGTAAGATGACGTACACGTGGTCTTTACTCCTCCTTTATGTCATGAACTGTAGCGGTCAATAGAGCTGTAATCTCTACCCAGTAATCATCATAATACCAAACATCAATCAGACCTTCAGATACATGTTTAAATGAGGCTAAATAAATCACATATCATTTATAATATTACTTTTTCTACTGTGCGTAAAATCTCCAGAATCCCAAAATCTTAAGGTTCCCCAGCTCACTGATCAGTCGTCTGCACTGAGTTGACCTTTCTGTGTTACACTGAAAGTCTTCCTCCTCTACTACAAACGGTGGCCATCTTTTGTACCCAGCTCTGTCTGTGACCCAGATGTTTATTCATTGGGCACATGTGTGTGCTGCAGACAGCCGACGGCCTTCTGTGTGGTAGAGCTGCAGTGTTTTGTAGACGTGCAGCTGCAGAATGAAAGAGCTGCTGAGGTTAGTGGTACAGCTGGGCGTCTCGCTGGATAGTTTCCCCTCCGTCCTGCTGTGTTTGCATTTTGCTCCCACGCCGTCACTGGAAGAGTTAGGCCCGGGCAGCACCGAAGGCTGTTATGAAGCCTCCACGGTTATGCAACAGAAGCCTTTGGGAGACGCAGAGCTCACACGCAGACCGCTCAGTATTCCCCGATTCATTCCCTTAATGGTTCTTTTCAAACCATTTAAACCATACACCCCAATTATGTGACGCACTTGTATATACACTTACACTCTTTTGTGTGGGTCGACAATATAAAAGAAAGAGATTCATGATATAGTTCTGATAACAAAATATGCTTTTAAAATAATCAATCAGGCAATCTTAAATCAAGTTATTGTGTGACTCTGTTCTTTTCTTGCATGATGATCCCTATATTTAATTTTTCACTTTTCTATCATGATGGTAGATATTTTATTATCCCGATAAGAACAACCTGAAATAATCACTCCTTCACATCCAAACAGCTCTTTAACTTTCATGAAGAAACACAATGTCCTTGTTTTCCAGCTTCAACATCACCAGAGTTGCTGACGTTGTTCACGTTTTTGAACATTAAGCTGTACATTGTTGCCGTCAGTGGTTTAACCACTCGTTCTTCATCCCTGCCGTCCTCCAGGTTCTTACTGCAGAGTCTCGAGGACCTGGACTCCAGCCTCCGTAAGCTCAACTCTCGGCTGTTTGTGATCCGAGGACAACCCACGGATGTCTTTCCCAGACTTTTCAAGGTGACGTCTCATTTGACCGTGAAGCTAAAGCTTTTAAAACCTGTTCATCATCATTCCGTAGCTAACTTTTGCGAACTCCCTGTTCTTTAGGAATGGAATATTTCTCGTTTGTCTTACGAGTACGACTCCGAGCCGTTTGGGAAAGAACGAGATGCAGCTATTAAGAAACTGGCCAGTGAGGCCGGAGTGGAGGTGACGGTTCGCATCTCCCACACACTCTACGACCTGGACAAGTGAGTTCACATCAACCCTTTACCACTCCAGCTTTAAAGCCAAATATACAACAAACTATGACCTGTTATTGTTCTTCAGGTCTTTGACTCTATACTCGTTTCCCTTCTGCAGGATCATAGAGTTAAATGGGGGTCAGTCCCCTCTCACCTACAAGCGGTTCCAGACCCTCATCAGCCGCATGGATTTAGTGGCGATGCCCGCGGAGTCCATCACGGCCGACATCATGGGGAAATGCAGGACGCCACTGTCCGAGGACCACGACGACAAGTTCGGCGTCCCCTCCCTGGAGGAGCTGGGTGAGTGAGGCCGGACAGGGTTCAGATAAAAACATGTACCACACATACATCTACACTGCGTTCCATTTGAAGTCGGGAAAATTCATCTGGAACGTCGGATTTCTGTCTCAGAATGTCAGACGAACTCCACCAACCTCCGACCTTTAAATCAAAGATGGCTGCTCCACACATCAACAGTTAATGACTGTTTTATCGTGCTGTTTATTAGCACTTCAGTCTTATTTGTCTCATTAAATCACACAGCATTAATGTGTTTGTTTTTCTTGGTACGTGATCCCTGCAGGTTTTGACACTGAAGGTCTGTCCTCAGCTGTGTGGCCGGGGGGGGAGACCCAAGCCCTCACGCGACTCGAGAGGCATTTGGAGAGGAAGGTCAGTCAGATCCTACCGACTCCCCGTCTTTGTCATTTAACAGTTCAATCATATTGAACTATTACTATTATAAAGGACCATGTTCTAGATAAAATATCTCCATCTGACATTACATTCGTGTCTGATCATGTGACCGTGTTGCCATCAGGCGTGGGTCGCCAACTTTGAGCGTCCCAGAATGAACGCCAACTCACTGCTCGCCAGCCCGACGGGCCTCAGCCCGTACCTGCGCTTCGGCTGCCTCTCCTGTCGCCTCTTCTACTTCAAACTCACCGACCTCTACAGGAAGGTGAGTCCCCGAAAACTCCTCTGAACCGTTCTGGTATCTCACCATCTGACGAATTACTGGAACAGCCCAAAAATGAAATGTTGGGAAATGAGGGGTCATCTTATATTTAGGCCAACACAGTTATTAAAACAAGCTTATCAGATTAGAATAAGATCTATTCTCATTGTGACATTTCTTTAATCATTCATGTCACGTTTATTTTATTTACTATATAAAAGTATCCCGCCTCTTTCTGCAGCTAAACTACATTATGTTTTCGTCTACTGCTCCTGTTGGTGGTTTATACCACCACCTTGTGGTTCCTTATTTATTCTGTAACAAGCTGAATTATCCACTGCAGTCTGACTGTGTTGCGCTAGCTCCCTCTTGAGGTGGGATGTTGTAAAATCAGATTCCAGTGCGGATGTTTTTTCCCACTTCTTTGTTTATGAGAAAAATCAACAAGTGTCCTGCCGCTTTCCTCCGACCCCTCCAGGTGAAGAAGAACAGCTCGCCTCCCCTCTCGCTCTACGGTCAGCTGCTGTGGCGCGAGTTCTTCTACACGGCCGCCACCAACAACCCCTGCTTCGACAAGATGGAGAGCAACCCCATCTGCGTTCAGATCCCGTGGGACCGCAACCCCGAGGCGCTGGCCAAGTGGGCGGAGGGCCGGACGGGCTTCCCCTGGATCGACGCCATCATGACGCAGCTGAGGCAGGAGGGCTGGATCCACCACCTGGCGAGACACGCCGTGGCCTGCTTCCTGACCAGAGGAGACCTGTGGATCGGCTGGGAGGAGGGCATGAAGGTAGGCCGCGCTGAAGTCCTTTCGTATACTATAAAGAATAAATACTTGTGTTCCTCGGCTAACGCGAGGCTTGTGTGTGTGTGTGTGTCCTCAGGTGTTTGAGGAGCTGCTGCTGGATGCAGACTGGAGTGTGAATGCAGGCAGCTGGATGTGGCTCTCCTGCAGCTCTTTCTTCCAGCAGTTCTTCCACTGCTACTGCCCCGTGGGTTTCGGCCGACGCACCGACCCCAACGGAGATTACATTCGGTACGCTGACAAACTGCTGGGATGCTAAAACTGAGGCTCAATTGACACTAGATATTGATGGATGCTGAAGTATTTTAAACTGAAGTCATTACCACAACAACAAATGAAACTGATCCTCTTTATCCCCTCACTCAGGCGCTACCTGCCCATCCTGAGAGGCTTTCCGGCCAAGTATATTTATGACCCCTGGAACGCTCCAGAGAGTGTGCAGAAGGCGGCCAAATGTGTCATCGGAGTGCACTACCCCAAGCCCATGGTGCACCACGCGGAGGCCAGTCGTCTCAACATCGAGCGGATGAAACAGATCTACCAGCAGCTCTCCTGTTACAGAGGACTCGGTAAGAACACAGACGCACAAACATCTGTGATGTCGATACGAAGCGGGAACGACGGGTCACCTGACATGACTGTCACGTCTCTGGTTGTTAGTTTAGCCGAATGTTTGGGGTGCGTGCCACATAAGTGGAGTTAAAATGTCTGATATTAAACTTGGTACCAGACCCATCAGAGAGAACTAAACAGTTCTTATGGAGCTGTGGTTTGCATTGATGCGGTCTTGTCTATCTAAAGTACTTTGCATCAGCTGTTGACTGCCAGTCGTCTGTGTCTTTAGGCCTTTTGGCTACAGTTCCCTCCGGCTCTAACGGTAACGGGGAGACGTCCTCAGACGGGATAGGGTTCCCCGGTGAGGCTCCACACGGCGCCGCAGCTCCGTCTGGTAAGCGGCACAACACCTGCAGCAGTTCTTCATAACTTCCTCCATCGCCTCTGGAGGTGAAGATTAAAATGTGCTGTTCTGTTCTCACAGGCTATCCGATGCCGGTTCACTCCCAGGCCGACTGGCAAAGCGGCGTCAGGATGTACCAGCAGGCCGATCCGCAAGCCAGCTCACACCAGCAGGGTGGGGACCAATGCTTTCTTTTTTATTCGTTTAAACATATTAACATGATACATAGATACAAAAATTTGGTTTGTCAGACAGTAAAATATAAATGTATTAAATTGAATTTAAAAACAAATGTATACCACATTTGTTTCCCTGTATTTGTCTCCCTTGTGTTGTCACGCAGTCTCGGCTAATCCTTGAATCTTGATTTCCAGGTTACGCAGGCACCAGTACCAGTATGATGTGTTACGGCGCACAGCACATTCCTGCAATTCAGAAAGGTGAGAACTGACAAAGGGAGATCTTCTCCTCACCCTTTATCTATGACGCTATATTTAGCCGTGCCTCTGTTTGTGTAGTCAGTTTCTGAACTGTGCCGTTTGTTTTTAACAGGACCTGAACACCACTGCATCACTCAGTCCAGTGGCAAGCGGCACAGCGAGGACTTAGTCAATGGCAAAGGCTCTAAAGTCCAGAGACAAAGCTCCCACTAGAAGGTCAGTTAAAGACTAAATTCAAATTGAACTTAATCCTGCTGAACGTTCAGGAACAAGAACAGACCTTAAATGGAAAATCTTGGGAACATAAGGAATGTCTTTTCGTGAGATTTGTCAGCAATTACATAAAATTAGTAATATTCTTTAAAGGAATACTTCACCCAAAGAATTATCATTTGTGTATCAATTACTCAGTTATGACTGGATTAATAAGAACAAAGTTTTCTTTAAGAATTCAAGGTAACACATGGCGAGTAACTGATACACAAACGGTCATTTTTTGGGTGATGTATTCCTTTTAGTGCACATAACCTCGTTAGGATCTGTCCTTAAATACTTAATTGATGTCTTAAATGGCTGAATTGATGTGCTTGTGAACCCCAAATTTATAATGTATGGTCATTAAATCTCCTTTTTAGTTTTCATTTTTCAGAATGCAAGTTTCTGCATTTTGATGAGACATGACTCTCAGCTGACGTGTGTCCTCTCTGTCCACTCGCAGGAGTGTCTGCAGACGGACCGAGTGCACAGACGACACTAAGTGGACGTTGAGGCGCAGGTGTTTTTGGTGACAGCGCCACACTGCTGCATGGACACAACTCCAAGAGGAGCCTCATTAAACACACACACACACACACACACACACACGCCTCAGTAACAGGACTGTATGTGATCACGTGGACTTCACGGTCCGGCTGACGTCACTGGAGCGGCGTTTACACTGTGCTCATCTTTGGGTTAATATTTATGGGACAAAGAAGAAGAAAAAGTCCTTCTGTATATAATGAATTTGCTAATTTCACATACAACTTGTACATATTTCAATATTGTATGTGTGTTTTCTCTCTTTGTGTAGCCATAGACCCATTGATATATGTTTGATATGAGAAATCATTGTGGATGGCTCTTTTTTTTTTTTTTTTTTTTTTTTTTTTTGTGGACAATTTTCATAAAAATGAAAACATTTGTCGACTGTCCATTAAAATAATAAGATGAAATCTTATATCTATTCTAATACAACTGCCTCTCATTTATTCTACTTCCGTTAGAGCCGTTAAAGATATCTACCAACAAGTGTTTTTATCATTCCCTATCTCGAGCTCCGTACCGGTGGACTCGTTTGAATCCTCAGTGTGACGTTAGAGATCACGTTGTTGGCCTCGGAGACGGTTCCTGACATGAATACAGATTCTTCATATCAAGGTGTCTCCTCTGTATTACCTGTATTTCTGACATATACAGTACTATCTTCATAAGAGCCCTCTTGTGTTCCTCTGCATCAAATCAAAGAAACCCTGATGAAGGCCACAGGCTGAAACACAGTTTCATAACACAGTGATTCTCCATAATTCAAGTACTGTATTGCTGGAGGTCTGCATCAAATAACATTCACAAAGACATCATCAACCTGTGAACGTTCACTCCTCAGCACATCTGAGGGGAGCGACCGGGTTGAAGAGCGGCCGCTGCTGCCGCAGGTGCAGTCGGCCGCAGCTCGTCTCAAAGTCCTTCTTGGTTCCCACGAGGACGTCCAGGCTGCCGGAGCCCACGTCGTACCCGTAGGAGGCCAGCTTCTGGATGCGATAAAGCACGATATGCGTGGTGAGCTCCAAGACGTTTGGGGCCTCCTTCACCTGCTCCACGCTCACCCTGACATCCATCAGTCCCTGGAAGCACCGCCCCAGGGTGGGCAGGGAGTAGTACAAGTGAGCCTAGAAGGTCCTAAAGTGTCCTGAAGTGATCTAAGAAACGCATTAAACACTGAGAGAGTTTAAAAACCTCCAGCAGGACTCATTACAGCTGTGACTCCCACACTTTTTGCCTTCTGACTCCTTAAAAAAATGACTTCTTGTTTTTCTTGTTCCTATCTATAACGTTGCGACCCCTCAGCTTCATCTTAGGCAGGCTGTGCATAACTGAACTACAAGAGGCTTAAACGCTAGTAAATAAAAAGTAATTCATTTATTCAGAATTTCACTCATAGCTTAAAATAGAAGTGTCCCAAGGTTTATCCAACTTAAGACCAAATGCTCTGCAGCTCCAGACTCCAGGACCCAAAAGCAAGCCGTCACTACAAACCCTCTATAACTGCAAAGACACACAGAAAGCCGCAGTATATTTATGTGAATCAAGAGTAAATGAAGTGTAGCGTTTTTGTTAAAATGTATGAATATGTAATGTCCTCAGCTCTCAGAGACTGGAACAAATAGAGGGAACAGTGTCCTCTCTCTGCTGGCTTGTTACATACATGTATTTGATAACATACAACTACACACAACACATGACACGTAAAAGAAAAATACACGACGGAAATACACGACGGAAAGCGAGTGGGGCTGTGCACAGTTTAAACTGGCAGCAAGTGGGTAAAACAAAGTGATGTACAAATAGGAAGACGGTCAAAGCATTGTTATTTGGCTTACAGCAATATACAAACAATATAAAGTATTATGCTGTGTAATATCCAAGTGAGCATCTTTTCACCAGATGAGGTCACTGTTCATCCGGTGTTGCCTGCATGTATGAGTATCATGGTTTTTTTCTCCATGAGATGCAGACTTTTCCTTGTTTTCCTGGTGCCTCAGAGGAAGATCAGGGTTTGATCCCTGGCCCCTCCAGTCCATGTCGATTTTCACATTTTTATTTCTAATCATGTCTCATACTGTTGGACTGCGTTTGTCATGCACCAAACACCAAGTCAAATTCCTTGTGTGTGCAAACATATACTTGGCAAAACAACTTTTTCTGATTCTGATTAAGGACGTCAACCTCTGCAAGAACTTATTTGATCACAAACCATGTTGGATTTAGTTTCCCTGCATCACTCTATTTGTTCTCTGTGGACCGTGTTAAACAGCAGCTATTTATAGCCTTTGCTGTCTTTCTTCGCTGATGGACACAGTTGTCCCTCGCCACCAGCAACTAAGATTATACTGGGACCGCCTGCTGTTGTGCGCAGGCATGTTTTGGGTTCGGTCCACTCTGGGATGAGTCAGGGCACATGCTCATCAGCAGATCAATTTGTTTTTCTCAAGGCCACAATTAACCTATCCTCACTCCAGAGCTCCAGAGGACTTATATTAAGACTGAAACTGAAGGCACTGGAGATAACGTGTCATCTTCCACAGCAGAACGATGTTTATCCCAAGGAGGGCCAATGCAACAGTTTAATTTGAATTCTCAGACGCAACGGAGCACCTGTCTCCCCACCGTCATTCATCTCGTCCTCTGCGTTCGTCCCTTTCCACTTCACAACTCAAGACTTGGGAACATAAATTCTTGACGCCGGCATTGAAGCGTTGCAGCTTGGGAGCAATTCGACTTTAATCCAACGCAGTGCTCAGAGCAGAAAGCCTCTGATAGCAAGAATGTTTTAATTACATTCCAAAGTGGAGACACGGCCGCAGCAGTGACGCTCATCTTGTCTTTTTGTTTGTTCTTACTGATGATCCTCTGCGATGCTGGAGCTTTTTAAAGTGTTGTTTTTCTTTACAGAAATAATAACTGTTGGTATACAAATACCAATATTTAAAATTCACTGACTGACTGCTAAAACAATAACTTCACAAATATATCAGTATATAAAACAGACAAAAAATTAAGAGGGATGTCCTCTACATAATTATTTCTTTAAACCCCCAAAATAAAATGTTAGTTTGAGAATAGGACATTCAAGGTGGTGGCTCATTTTGGAGAATGTGACAGCTGTAACTTCCCCTCATTAATGCCCCCCCTCCGGCTCTGATGCACTTAAAGAGAGTGCAATGTGTTCTGTTAATGGAACTCCTCAAAACACCACGGTGGCTTTTAAACCGTCATGGTGGATTAGCAGGTTCCCCAAACTGCGCGTGAAATATCTATAAAGTTGAAGTACATTGTTCTCTGTTTATCCTCTGCTTCCAGTAGGCCTTTAAAGGTATGGGTGTCGTTTGTATCTGAGTTGCATTGTGGGACGGGAAAGCACAAGTGTGTGTGCGCATCTGTTGTGTATCTGAAATAGTCTCTCATCTTGTCCTTACAAAGGAATGAGGAGGCACTGCAGGGTCAGAGAGGAGAGGAGGAGGGGTGTGTGAAGTGTGGCTGAAGGTTTGGTGAGGAGAAAATAGACTACTCCATCTGTCTCAAAATCCCCCCACTCTGGAGACTTTGGAGGTCACATGGTAAAAAAAGGCAAACCCCTTAAAACCCCCCAAGCGCACGTCCAGAGACCCCAGTCATCTCTTCCAAGCAAGACACCAGCTGGTCTCGGTGTTCATCCTGCTGTCTCTCCCCTAAAAAGCCTCCATCATGTCAGACACCGAGGAAACAGTGGAGGAGTGCGAGCAGGAGGAAGAAGAAATTGAAGAAGAGGAGCAAGAGGAGGATGGAGCGGAGAAGACAGAAAAGCACGCAGAGGAGAATGAGCACGAGGAGGACTCTAAGTGGCGGCCCAAGACGACCTATGTGCCAAATATCGCTCCTCCGAAGCTCCCTGATGGCGAGAAGGTGGATTTTGACGACCTGCACCGCAAGCGACTGGAAAAGGATTTCAACGACCTGCAGACGCTGATCGAGTCGCATTTCTCCACGCGCCAGAAAGAGGAGGAAGAGCTGCTCGCGCTGCGCAGCCGCATGGAGCACCGGCGCTCCGACAGAGCGGAGCAGCAACGCGTGCGCGCCGAGCTGGATCGCGAGCGCCAAACGCGTCTGGCCGAGGAGAGGACGAGGCGCGAGGACGAGGCGGCCAAGCTGCGCGCCGACGAGGAGGCGAAGAAGAAGATGATATTCACCAACAAGTCCTTCGGCGGCTACATGCAGAAGGTGGACCAGAAGAAGGGCAAGAAGCTGACCGCGCGGGAGGAGAAGAAGAAGGCGCTGATGGACCGCCGGAAGCCGCTCAACATCGACCACCTGAACCAGGAGAAGCTGGCGGACAAGGCGCAGGACCTGTGGCAGTGGCTGCACCACCTGCACGCGGAGAAGTTTGAGCTGGCCGAGAAGCTCAAGAGGCAGAAGTACGACATCTACCTGCTGCGAAACCGAGTCAGCGACCACCAGAGGGGCTCCAAAGCGTCCAAGACCACCCGCGGGGCCAAGGGCAAGTCCGGCTCCTGGAAATGAGGGGTCCCTCAACCAGCAACGGGACTGCCAAGTTGTTCCTGGACTGTGTCACATGCCAGGGATTGTGTGTGGATTTGATGGGGGACTCCACAAACTTTTTTTCCCACATGTATTCTAAAAAGTGTGCTCAAGAGTTTAAAAGTCTTTAAAACACGATTTAATGTCTTTGACAGTATTTTCATGATTGTGAAATAATCTCTTCTAACTCAAACTCTCTTGGGAAATGCAGTTTCCTCTGCTGTTTCCAATAAACCTCTTCAAACATGTCGTTGTTTTTGAAAAGAGTGTCTCTCAAGTTCTCTCAAGACAGAAACGTTAACTTGTTTGTTGTTGGTACTTAACCGATACCGGATGTCTCTTTGGTTGTGATAAGATAACGGGTGTTGCACAGCTGACTTTTTAAGGAGCCTCATTTAGAAGGCCTGCAGTATTTCTAGAAAAAAGACCCAACTGTTGACCGACAGGTCGTGACCCTAAGAATCTGCAGAGTGGACGATGCTTTGCAAAGTGGTGTTGGATGTCTTTAAGGAATTCACCTGCAATCAGCAAGACCCGGGTCTTCATTTTTCTCTCTTGTCCTTTTACAATGAAAAACACAGACAAACCTCACATATTTTGAACAGAATAATTATCAGATAATTCTAATCACTGATCTCTAACTCAACATCAGTCGGATAGTTAATGTTAAATTGACGTGTAAAAGGTTATTTATTCTCTCGCTGGCAAAAGTATAGTTGAAATCAAACCTCCTGCTTTTATTCACTCTCTGTTTTCATTAATTAAATAAGGAATCTGCAGCAAATTACATGCGTTCAGCATCCTCGCATCCCCCATCAAAAATTCTTTATATTCTGTATTGTTTCATGTTTCCAAAACTATTCTGGACCTAATTTCTGTCCCAATTTTTGGCTTCAA